CGACAGCAGGCCGGCAGCCTCGCTCCTCCGGGGGCCGCTGGGCGGACCCGTTGACGAGGGGCCAGGGGACAACACACGCTGGGGTGCAGGGCGGGGCCGGGGGCCGCGAGGCCCGGTGACTGTCTCAGGGACACGCGTGTCCCGCAACACGCCCGCACGGGCAGAGCGTGAAGCCAGGCAGGGCCCGGTGCCCGCCTCTCCCCTTCCCCCTGCCTCCAGCCACCCCTGTCGCCTGGCCGAGCCCCCCACGAGGCCGGGAGCTGTTCGCCTCTGTCTCGAGGGCTGAGGGGCGAGCCAGGCCCCGGGCTGCGCTGCTCACACCGAGCTCCCGGAGGGGTCGGGTGGCCACGGTGCTTGGAAGGTGCAGAAATGGACTCGGACATGGGTGGGAGGTCCCAAGGCCTGTGCTGTGCCCTGAATGAGACAGGCGGGGGCCTCCCGCACTCCCTCCTGGTGACCTCCGGGGAGCCCTCGGGCCTCACCCAAGGACTTCCCATGACCCAGCGCAAAACAGGAGGGCTTTGTGCAAAATGGCGCCTCACAGAGACACCAGGAGGAGCTGCCTCTACTTGAGACAAGATTCTCACAAGCGCGCCACCCGGGAGCCGCTGTCACGCGCCGACTGACCACGCGTGGGCAGGACGAGCCCCGCCCCTGTGCCCGCCGTGTGGCTCCGCCCGCCGGCCATCAGCGGCACGGCGCCGTGTGGGCGTGACCCGGACCCGGGCGCCCCTCGGGAATCACTGGCCACTGGTCCACCTGCCCCGGGAGGCGCCGAGGGGCGCCCCCGCAGTGGAGAGTCCCTCCAGCTGCGGGCACATGGCTGGGGAAAGGCCTGGGGGATCCAAATCGTGCAAGTGGCTTCACACATTTAAAAATGACTTATCCTTGGTCGACGCGGATACACGATGTTCCACTAGCAACTCCCGGAGCACGGCGTCCCCGCTGCACAGAGGCCTCACCCCTCGGACACAGCCACTGCTCCGGGGGCCCCTGCGTGCGGGCGGTGGACGGCCAGGGCACCTCACCAGGTGCCGCCTCTGCCCCCTCCCCCCGCCCGGTGAGCCCCACGCGAGGACCTGAGCCCCGGGCGCCCCGACACAAGCTGCATTCTCCGAGGGGCCCGGGCAGGAGCCATGGAGATGCCCCGGCGTGCGCCCCAGGCGGGCTTACACGCTGGTGTCCGCACGCAGGTGGGAACATGCCTGCAACCCGGGGGCCGTGATCTCTGCTTCCAACAGACACGGGGGCAGGCACGGCCCCCGGCACAGCCTCCACTGGACAAGTGGGCCCACAGAGGGAGACGAGGGTCCGGCCGCAGACCCCGCACCGCTGGCGCCCCGGGGACGTCAGACGCACCGGGGTAAGCGGATTTTACAAAATCGGCCACGTCAAGGCTCCAGCATCAGCTTTGGAGGCAGCAGGGCAGCCTTGCTCCCTCAGGACACGTGGGCCCCCCAACCTCGGGCCACGCCCAAGCCCTCCGGTCCGGTGGCGAGAACCCTCCATGCTCCCTTTGCCTCGCGTGTCTGGATGTGGCTACTGGGCGGGAGGGCTCAGGCGGCTGGGAGGTCCCCAGCGCGGCCCTGCGGAGACGCTCCTCGGCTGCCCCACGTCCTGTTTCCATCCAACATGCCTCGTGCAACGCCACGTGCAACGACGGCACGTGCACAGCGGCAAGCACACGCGCACACACATTCGTCACAGGCGCTCAGCGGCGCTCAGGAAAATCAGCGTCTTTCTAGCTTATTGGGCGCGGGATAAACTGACCCGGTTGCTTTCCGTCACCGCGCTCGGGGCGGGCGCACACGCTGCGGGGACACACGCACACGCTGCACGCGACCCGCAGGGAAGCGAGCGGGCTGGACCGAGGCCCGCCAGGCCCTCCCGCCGGCGAGGGGGGCCGGGGCTGTCACTTACCCGCCCTCCTTTCTCGGGGTAGCACTGGCAGCCCCCGCTGCAGTCTCTCCCGCCGCAGGGCACATCGAACTTCTTCACGCCCTGTGGGATCAGAAAAGAGGAGAGCGTCACCCTCAGCGCTGCACCCGTCACCCCGGCCCCGCGGCTGCCCAGAGACCGACCGGCGCAGAACATTCAAGAAACTTTTTTGAAAAAAGACTGATTTTCAGAGCAGCCTCGGGCCCCCCTACTTCCCCGTTTGTGGCGCCCAGAGCAGGGTGCACGTGGACCCGCATCCACTCCTCATGGTCACCCGCCGTCCCGGTTCACACCGGGGTCACGTGGGGTGATGTCCTCTCTGTGGGCAACTTGTCAAGGTGCCTCAGGGGCCGGACCACCGAGGACACCAGGACCCAGGGCCCTGGCAGCTGAGCCCGGGAGACGCCTGCAAGTGCTTCTGATGAGAGCGACACCCCCACCCTCCCTGCACAGGGGGCAGCGCCGCCTTCTGCCCAGTGAGGGGCGTGCCCGGAGGCGGGCGCGGCTTGGGGATCCCAGTGATGAACATGGGGCCTGGGGAGCGATGATGGGCTGGGCTGCTCTCCTGCCTGGGGGCACCTGTGGGGCTTGGCCCTGCTGCCCAGCCCACCGCCCCCGCAGAGCCCTGGGTCAGGCGCCCCTGGCAGAGGCAGGAGCCGCACCCCACTGCCGCCGGCCACCCCACAACCTGCCCCTCCAGCACCTCTGAGCCTGGCCTCCACCGAGATACCCATGGCCGTGTTTGTGTGAGCGCCTGCCAGTACCCGTCCCGCCCCCCGCCCCCCCCCGCTGCCCCCCACGGGGACGCTCAGAGCCACCCACGGAGAAGCCTGGCCGCACCCCGAGGTGACTCGCTCTGTACCCAGGCAGCCCTTCTCTTGGGTCCACACCCCGCTTCTCAGCCTGGCTAGGACCCGTTCCTGCTTGGAAGAATTCAAGACACCTGGACATCTCACAGCGTTAAAGAGCGCAAGGCCCCAAGGCACTGGGCCCTCTGGCCGGAGAGAGGGCCCGGGAGGCGTCTGGGGGGCTGCCGGCCCCACCCAGTCGACAGGGCCGGCCCCTCTTGGCCCCAGAACGCGTTCTCGGCCTCTGCCAGTCTCTACGGCTCGGGCTTCTCCCCAGGGCTCACCGTTTCCCGCCACGGCCGAGGCCTTGGTGCGGACAGACCAGGCCGCGAAGGCAGGGCGTGCCCTGGCTCTGGCACCGGCGGCCCGGGCTGCGCACGGAGGCCTGGCGTGATCAGGTGGTTTGGCAGGTGGCCCTGGCTATGCGTGACTCACTCACCCCCCTTTGGACAGGGCAGGGGACGCCTCAGACTCACTTTCTCCGTCTGTCACAGGCTATTTTTAATTCTGATTGTAAAGCCACCGCACACCCCACATGCATCGGTGGCCGGATGATGTCAATGGCTTCAAATCGATCGACAGGTTTTCTCCTCGCTGCAGGCGCACGCTGGATCCACGGGGAGAAGGCGCACGCCCACCGTGCTGCGTTCTGGAAGCCGGGCCTGTGGCCCTCACCCCGGCCCGCGGCTCTCCCGCCAGGGGCACCACCCAGAGGCTCCGCCCTTCATGCACCGCCAGCCCCGGCCAGCCCCGCGCGTGCGTGGGGGGTGTGTGCTGCTTGTCTGCTCCAGGCCAGGCGCGCGTGGGCGTGGCCGGGCGCGGAGCACGCGGGCGGGGACTGCGGGCAGTGGTCAGCCTTCCCGCCCACGGATCTAGATTACGGTGCGGAGGGTGAGACCCACGGGCGCGTCACCCCACAACCCGGAGCACTGCCCAGCGTCTGATCCCGCCCCGGGGACAGCTCCGATTCTGACGTCAGGGCACCCAGCACTGTGGGTGGGTGAGTCTGCACCCACCCTTAGGACCCGCGGGGCCCCACTGCCGGGCGGGCGGCCAGTCCCTCCAGACGCGGCCAAACCGCCCCCGTGGCCTCGGGAACAGAATCTTCCAAGGAAAACCACGTCCAGCTTTGGAGCCAGGAGCGACAGTCTGGGCTCGAGCCCACAGACCCTGCCCTGCCCTTGATGCCGAGGGGGCGGCCCGGGGACCCGCGGGGCAGCGGGCGCTGGAGGGGACGAGGCCGCGCTGACTGCCTGCCTGGGGCGACGCGGCACCCGACCATCCCTGCCGCCCTCCAGGGTGCGGACGCCGCCAGGCAGGGCTGGGCTCCCCTCACCCGCCCGTGAGAGAGGGGGCTCCCCGAGGTGTGGCCCCATTTCCAAAGTCCATAAAACAGCTCATTGTTGCTTCCCCCAAAGGCACATTTGTCCTTATGTTTACGTTTAAAAATAGGTTTAAACAACGGCGTGAGTGCCGGCGCGGAAACAAAGGTGCAGGCTCAGGGGCTATTTCTGCGGCTACTGGGGTGCCCGTCCAGGGACTCGGGGAGCCGAACCGGTGACAGCGGCGCTGGGTGGACGTCCCGGAGGCGCCCCCGCGCTCGGCTCACACAGGCAGCGAGTCGCCACCGGTTTCTATGAAGACGCAAGAACAAAACCCATTTGTCCTAAAACAAAGAATATTTTGTCCTCCCCATGTTCCAAGAAACTCTTCTCCGAGAAAGCCGTTCCCAGCCAGCACGCTTCCAGCCAAAGGAGCGGCCTCTGCGGGGGCCCACGGCGGTCTTGGCCGGACTGCCCAGCCGCACCCCGCTTCCTGCGGGGAGCAGGCCCACGCTCGCGGCCAGCAGGCCCTCCTGGAGGCTGGTCCGGGGCCCGAGCGCGCGGCACGGGCCTTTGTCTTTGTCCCCAGCCCGGTCAGGACGGGCTTTTCAGAATTCTCCCGGCTCGGAAGAGAGGCCAAGTGGGCGCGGCCCCCGGCAAGCCCGTCCATCAATCAGGCAGGACGCGGGAGCCATTTCCTCACGCGCAGCCCTCGAAGGGGAGGAAGTCGTTGCAGCATGGAACCCGAGCCCAGTGCGTGGCCGAGGAAACGCGGGCCGGGCTTCTCGGGGCCCGGTCTTGTGCCCAGCGGCGGGCAGGCCCGCGGCCAACTCCGCTCTTTGTTGCACAGGCGGCGGCACCGGGCTCGGGCCTCCCTCGGGCGGGGCGAGGCGGGCAGGGCGGGGACCGGCGGCCACCTGCCCGGGCAGCGGGGCTGACCACGAACTCAGGTCGTTCTCGGAGGCGAGATGCGCCGGGGCTGGGGTGCCAGCTCCCTACCCCCGAGGGCTTGCCCCGGCCGGCGGGGCCTCCTCTGGCTGGGCTGCCAGCAGACGTGCCCCGGGGCCTGGCCTGGGGCCCCTGAGTCACCTGGGAGGCCCTTGTTTTCATTTGCTTTCATGAGCACTGACATCACCTCTTTCTGCTCAGGCAGCTCCCGGGGGTGTTCTCCGAGGTCCGCCATCCACAAGGCGACCCGCCCTGATGCCCGGCTCGTGCGCTGCAGGCGCTCAGGCCCACGGAGCGGGCAGAGGGCCGTGAGGGGGTGCAGGTGGGTGTTGGAAGGAGCAGGCCCCTGGAAGGGGCAGGCGCGGGTAGAGAAACGCCTGTTTTCTGGAACACGCGCCGCTTGGCACAGAGTGAGGGGGACGGCAACCCCGGCCAGTCTCCAGTCAGGAGAAGGACGTCCCGCCCCACAGCCGACCCCAGGCCTGCGGTGCCTTCCTGCCCCGAGCGAGGGGGGCCAGCTCCAGCCCGCACAGGAGACAGCCTCCCTGGAAACACCTGGCGGGGCGGAGTGATGTCAGGGCGGGCGGGTCTGGTGCGGGTGGAGACAGGCAGGCGCGAGCAGAGGGTGTGGCTCCCCGCGGGTCACTCTGAGTGGCAGCCCTGCTCTCGGGGCAGGGAGCGCGGGGTGTCGTGGGGTCTCCCGGGGCGAACGGAGGGCAGGGTGGGGAGCCGTGCGCCACGCACCGGCCTCTAGCCACTCGGCACAGTTGGGACGCGTGTCCAGAAACTTCCTCCTCGGGGGTCTTCCCAACCTCCTTCCAGACCTGCCTTCCCGAGGGACCTGGTACCTGACAACAGAGACCCCGGCTGTGCGGCTGGACTCAGGAGCAGCGGGCTGGGTCCCCTGCAGGGCCTCAGAGGCCTCTGAGCATGAAGCCAAGCGAGCCCTGGCGAGGCGGCTTCCCAGCGAGAAGCGGGAAGGCCGCAAGGTGCCATAAACAGCACTGCGCCGGTTACCCCACGGGGCTGGAGGCTGGGCCCGAGGCTGCAGCCCTGCAGAAGCAGGGCCTGGGCAGGCACCCCCGGTCTGGCTGAGTCCTCCTGGGCAGCTGAGGGCAGGAAAGCTGGGCGGTCCCGAGGGCCCCTCACATTCCTGGGCTCCGCCCACGACCCAGCAACCCCACAGGCACCACCTCCTGGACCCCGCCCCGGGGAGTCGGGGTTCCACAGGAGTCTTGGGGGCACAGGCTTGCAGCCCATGGGTGTCTCGGCGCTGAGACGCTCACCACCTCGGCCCCGCCGTCCCTTGTGCCCACCGTCCCCCCTTGGTCTCTTCCGTCAGCTCCAGTGGAGGCTCCGTGAAACTCTCACACAACATGGATGTCAAGGACTGGAAACCCCTGCACACGGCACCTCAGGGTGCCCACCCACCCCAGGTGCCCTGTTCCAGACGGGCTGCGACCCCTCAGGCCACACGCCCTGGAGCCAGAGCGTCACGACTCACTCTTCTGAGCTGCAGATGTTCCTGCTGGCCATGGCACATGGCTATTTCTGAAGACCCCCACTTTCTCCAAAATCACCCATAAATCCGTGGGGTACGGAGTGAGTGGGCGGAGCCGCGGGTGCCCATGCTCCCTGTGACCCCAGCCGGTCCAGGCAGCCTGGCCAGGCTCAGCCTGAGCAGCAGCGAGGACTCACTGTGCTTGGAGGGAGGCAGCCTGAGCTGCGCGGAGGCCGGAGATGGGAGGCCTGTGCACCGACCCGGGTCTGGGGGAGGAAGACCCCGGTGGAGGAAGACAGCTGGTGGCGCCCGGACCGCTCCCGCTGCTCAGTCGCCCTGCACCCGCGCCCCGCCGGGGGAGGAGCTGCACCCCGCCGCGGCCAGGGCTGGTGCTGCAGCCGGCTGGACACTCACGCCGCGGTCAGCACCCAATGCCTTCAAGAG